CACACACACACACACACACACACACACACACACACACACACACACACGCTTGTGGTTTTCTTTAGGTTTCCCACCTTTCCCCCAAGCTAAAGGAGAGGCGGGAATCCAATACTGCGCGGACACTTTTTTTTTTCCGGTTTCTGCCACATCTGCCCAGATGGCTCCCTATTCCCTCCAGCCGCCTCAGAGGGCTTCAAGAGTTTTCAAATGCCATGCCACTTGCTTGAGCTGGCAGAGGAGAATGTCCAGGTTCCCTCTCCTGGCAGCCGAGGTTTCTCTAGATGGTAGTCCTTGGCAGATAACCCGACAAAGTGCCTGAAGGTCTCACTCTGCTTCTCCAGCCTTCGGTCAGAAAGGCTGTAAAACAAGAAAAAAGAAGCAGAGTCTGCTAGCACAGCCTGCTGGGGGGGGGGGGGGGGGGAGCGGCGAGGCTGCGTGCCGAGAGCCGCTCGCAGCGGTCGCGGCAGGTGCGCGGTCGGAGGAGGGGCGGTGCACCCGGAGCAAGGCCTAGGCTCAGCTCCGGCCACCCGCCCCCCCAAACTTTTCTTTTACTGCGAGAGGCTCCGTGTTGCCATGAAAACGGATTTTCCAAGGGGCCCGACCCTCCCCCTCAGGAGCATCGGACTGGAAAACCCGAAATGGCCAGACAGCAGAGACAAAAAGGGGCCTCTAAGTAGGGGCCCGGAGCGAAAAAGTGGAGGCTCCTTCGCCCTTGGCGTCCCAAACCCGCTCCCCGGGAGCTACGTGCGAGCGCCTCCCCCAGGCACAGGCCGAGGCCGCTCGCCACTCGCATTCGCAAACCCCCCGTGGAGCCTCACTGCCAGGTGCACTCGCACTCGTGCGCCCCGGCTCCCGCCCCCTCTCTCTGTCCTGGACGCATTGGCCCCCGGGGTGGAGGGTTCAGGCAGCCGGCTACCATTAATTCCAAGGAGGGCTTCTCAGAGGCTCAGCCTAGCGCACCTCCGTTACGCATTGAATGTCCCAAGCATGCCTGGACTGCTAGAGGTCCCCAGTGTCCTTAGTGCTGGCAACCACAGGGGTTGGAGGTCCTCCGTGCAGAAGGCGGGCGGGGAGCTTTCCAGATTGGCCATGAGATGAGGCGCTGATCAGCCTAGTCCGGTCTGCAAAGTTGTCTTCTGAACCCCGTGGGCGCTCCTCTGCCCCTCCCCCCCCCCCAGTCTTGCTCGGGGGCCCTCTTCCCCCCCTCCTCCCTCACCTCCTCCGGTTTCTCGTTCTTTCAAACTTTTTGAGACCCTAATTGGTGGTCTCGGAGCGGGTCTCAGGGACTCCCGCCTCCTGAATAACTATCATCACGTCACTCGACCCGAGAGGGGTCTGGAGGGTGAACGAAAGGGCTCCCCGAACTTTTTTTTCCAAGCTGGGCCACAGGGGGCTCGGTGTTGATTGGCCAGGACTCATCACGGCGAGCCTGTCAATCACGAGGCCCACGGGTGGTGAGGGGGCGGACCGAGCCCCAACCCTCCCGGATCTGAGCAGGTATATAAGGGGCCGGGCCGGCTTCCCGGGCAGGCTGCGAAAGCGACCAGCTCGAGAGAACGCATCAGGTGAGAGAACCCCGCGCGTTCCCGCCGACTTCGCCCGGAGCCCTTCAACAAGCCTGCCCTTCCCGCCCGAGCTGTCGGCCCGCCGGCCCCCGAGCACCACTCCGACGGAGTCCCCGGGCCTTTTCACCGTGGCCGCTCCAGCCCCCGGAGCGCCTTCTCCTCCCGCCACGCTGGCGCACCTCCTTCCCGCCCCGGCGATGTACAGCCTGCTGGAGACTGAACTCAAGAATCCCGTGGGGCCACCCACCCCAGCCGCGGCCACCGGTGGCCCCGCAGCTCCCGGCGCTGTGGTCAAGAGTAACCAGAACCCAGCCGGCGGCGCGAACGCAGGCAGCGGGGGCAGCGGGGGCGCGAACGGCGGCGGCGGTGGCGGGGGCAGCGACCAGGACCGTGTCAAGCGACCCATGAACGCTTTCATGGTGTGGTCCCGCGGGCAGCGGCGCAAGATGGCCCTGGAGAACCCCAAGATGCACAACTCCGAGATCAGCAAGCGCTTGGGCGCCGACTGGAAACTGCTGACCGACGCAGAGAAGCGGCCGTTCATCGACGAGGCCAAGCGACTGCGCGCGGTGCACATGAAGGAGTACCCGGACTACAAGTACCGGCCCCGCCGCAAGACCAAGACGCTGCTCAAGAAGGACAAGTACTCGCTGCCGGGCGGCCTCCTGCCCCCGGGCGCCGCCGCCGCCGCCGCCGCTGCCGCCGCCGCCGCCGCCGCCAACAGCCCGGTGGGCGTGGGCCAGCGCCTGGACACGTACACGCACGTGAACGGCTGGGCCAACGGCGCCTACTCGCTCGTGCAGGAGCAGCTGGGCTACGCGCAGCCCCCAAGCATGAGCAGCCCGCCGCCGCCGCCCGCGCTGCCGCAGATGCATCGCTACGACATGGCCGGCCTGCAGTACAGCCCCATGATGCCACCC